GGTCGGCGGCTTGGTCGTGGCGGTGCCCGCCGGTGGGCAGCTAGGGGCTGTTCTAGGGGTCCTGGTGCCCCGTTCCCGTCCAGACGGCTAGCGGGCGACAGGGTGAAGTGACGACGATGACCAAAAGGCATGGCGGAGTCCGCGAGCGGTGGTGGTGCACGGCGGAGCTCTAGGCGAGGTCCGATGCTCGTGGACAGGGTGTTGTGGCCAGCTAATGGGGTCTCGGTCTACGCGGCTACCCTCTGGGTGTCACGGTGGTGCTACGACTATGTCCTAGTCCGGCGAGGCGGCCGGATGCGCTAGTAGTGGCCGCGCCATGACGGTGGCGTCGTGAGCGCGGCGTGCGCGTGTTCTGCTACGGCGTCCATGGGGCTAGGAGGAGTCTTAGCAGCGAGGGACTCACCGCTGGTGTCGAAGACGAAAGGATGGCGGTGCAATGGAGGGTCGTGGCCGTGTAGACGGAAGTAGTGCAGTGCCGACCCGCAACAGTGATGAAGACGACGGCGTCGTCTTCGGCTCCGACGACTTCGACAGCACGCGGGTGGCTCCGATCCTCCTCACTCGTTCTTTCTTCTTCCTCTATCCCCTCTCTCTCTTGGCTTGGGTGTGCGGTGGATGGCCACCAGGTGGTGGCGGGGCACGGGGACGCACTTGGGCAACCGGGGCTGGGGCTTTTATAGCCGAAGCTCGGCCAGGCATGGAGCGAGCGGCTGGGGATGGCCAAGGGGCGCGCGGAGGACTATGATCGCATTGAGGCCAGGGCTACGAGGTCGCGACGCGGGCGCGGGTGCGATGGCGAAACCGTTTTCGTGTTCCTTGGTCAGCAAGGCGGGGGACAGGGAGGCGACAAGGTCACGGCTCGGCCATGGCCATGGCAGGCACGCGCGAGGGGGGGGCAGGGTCACGCCGCGGGCGTGGCTTCTGTCAGACTTGGTCGGTCCGGCTGGCGTCCTTGAGCGCGTCCGATCGGTTGATGGCGCAATCATGTGGCCGAGGCGGATTGCGTGGAGCTCCCGCTCCTGTCTCTGTTCTGTGATCAGGAAAAGCAGGGGGGACCGAGGTGGGTGATGACACCTGGGCCCCGCTTGGCAGCGGCTTTCGTCGGGTGATGGCGTGCTGGCGCGTGGGGTCCGGTGGCGATGGCGCGAAGCGAAGCGGGAGGCGTCTGGCGTGCGTGAGCCTTGTTGGGCCGGCTTCTTTGAAATTTGGGCCTGTGAGTTTGGTTGACTTTCTTCTGCTTGCCGCATAAGCCGGGTTGGTGGTGGCTACTATCAAGGCTAAGCTAAGCGGAAAGGTAGCGAGCCGAGCCATTGCTGGCCTTCTTCTTTTCTCTTCCCTTTTCTGTTTTATTTTTCTTCTCCTTTGTTTAAATTCAAATTGATTTGGAATTTGAATTCAAAATTGGTGTACTTTATTCATTGGAGTTTTAGATATGAGGCCCACAACATTCTTTTATATATATATTATGAATTTATTTAGCTATTTTGTATAACAAAAATAAGTGTAGTTTTGTTATACAAAAATGGAAATAGTTTCCTCTTTAAGCATTTATTCCTTGGTTTGATTAATAATTACTTTATGGTTTATTTCTTTTAAAGGAGTTGTTAGGCATTACTTAAAACAAATAAAAATCCAAATCACCATTTGAGTTAACAATGTATGCTATATTTTATTTGTTAGTATTTGAATAAATATAATTAACAAATAGCATGCCATGCTCATGAAATTGTCTAGTTGGGTTACTTCTAATGCAACACCCAGGGTTGGCTCCTACAGATGTCACTCAACATGGCATGGAGTAATAATAAAAAAAATGTAGTTGTGATTTTTGATGTGTAGATTTTTAGGTTGTTACTAGTTGTATCGTTTTTGATGCATGAGCAACACATCCACGCATAGAGGTTGTAGACATTATTAAGAGCAAGTCCCAATGAGAAACATGAGTGCGATTCTAGGAATCAAACTCACGCGCGGCGACATGCACACAGGAAACGCCAGCCACCCAAGCACTAGCTCGGTTCTTGAAGTAAACACCTTTTTGCCGTGGTTCTCCAAAAGTGCACTATACAAAAAAAAAGATTCTCCGTCACATCAAATTTACGATACATGTATGGAGTATTAAATGTAGACGAAATCAAAAACTAATTGCACAGTTTGCTTTAACTTTACGAGACGAATCTTTTGAGCCTAATTAGTCAATGTTTGGACAATAATTCACAAATACAAACGAAATGCTATAGTGGAGAATCGTGCCCTATGCAAGCGCAAACTTTGCCGAACTAAACTCGTAGCGAGAATTGCCCGGATCTAAAGATTTCTTAGATCCACCGGACTAAAGTGCACCCATCTAGCTAGATGCAATGAGCGAGTACATTGACACATGGTGTTTGTGCGAATTTAGTTTCGTGGGTGGGATCTGTACTCGAAATAGATATACATGTCAATGTTAATGTCGAGCAAATAAGCACTTTATGTCCCAACGAAAAAAATGAAATATACAAAGAAAAAATATTTCATTGAGGTAAGTTGCCGAATAGCCGAGGAGTATGATGAAGTACAATGCAGCAAGCCACACGCGACACAAAATTGACTACAATTGAGGTAAAAGAGTGGACCACAAACATCAATCAGGAGGGTCAGAGCATGGTGGAAGACAAGAAGAAGAACAAAGATAGCGAGGAAATACAAACGGATGATCTGGTTGTGCACTACTGATCGGTGGGCATGCATGCAACAATCAAGGGTTTGTTATAACTTTTCCAATCATATCCGGTGACACCGATCCAGTCTCCCTGTTTGTTTTAGTGGGCTAATAAGCTGTAAGTGGTACTAATAAGTACTTGCTAGTATTACTGAATGCGTGGTTGTTTGAGTCGATATAGCCGTGGGGCTAATGTAAAAGAATTGCTACTGAATCAAGACTCAAGAGGGCTATAAGAGAGAAAGATATATAAATAAATAGTGTGTGGATTGGTCGGTAAGATTGCTGAATGTAGAAGCGGCGGTGATTTACGAAAGATGATAGAGAAAGACATTGAGTAGTTACTGTTAAGAAAGTAAGACGACTAGAGTAGGGCACTTGGTCAAATAAAGAAAAAGAGGGAATAATTTCCTATCGTAATTAAAGCCGAGGTTTAGCTCATCTGTCAACATCTGGCTACCCAGTTTGAGAGTATTTGACTAGGCCTCTGGAACGATAGAACACAGCTAGCACACGTAATAACCTAGTACCGCTCACCATTGGCACACGTCAGACGTTTATATTTATATTTAGAGTTAAATGTATGGGTGGTCCATCAACTTGCGTTTTAGTTTTACTTAGATCCATCAACTCTAAAAGTGGGTTTTTGGGTCCATAATCTTTGTTAGTGACGCATTCCAAACCCATACCCCTTTGTTTTAATTTTTGAACCGACGTGGTTGTCTATGAACCGACGTGGTTGTCTATCATGGCATCCAGGTTGGATTTGGCGGGAGAGCGTCGGCCGCCCAGTCCATAATAGATATACATGTCAATGTTAATGTCGAGCAAATAAGCACTTTATGTCCCAACCAAAAAAAAAAAGAAATATACAAAGAAAAAATATTTCATTGAGGTAAGTTGCCGAATAGCTCAGGAGTATGATGAAGTACAATGTAGCAAGCCACACGCAACACAAAATTGACCACAATTGAGGTAAAAGAGTGGACCACAAACATCAATCAGGAGGGTCAGAGCATGGTGGAAGACAAGAAGAAGAACAAAGATAGCGAGGAAATACAAACGGATGATCTGGTTGTGCACTGCTGATCGGTGGGCATGCATGCAACAATCAAGGGTTTGATATAACTTTTCCAATCGTATCCGGTGACACCGATCCAGTCTCCCTTTTTGTTTTAGTGGGCTAATAAGCTGTAAGTGGTACTAATAAGTACTTGCTAGTATTACTGAATGCGTGGTTGTTTGAGTCAATATAGCCGTGGGGCTAATGTAAAAGAATTGCTACTGAATCAAGACTCAAGAGGGCTATAAGAGAGAAAGATATATAAATAAATAGCGTGTGGATATAAATAAATAGCGTGTGGATTGGTCGGTAAGATTGCTGAATGTAGAAGCGGCGGTGATTTACGAAAGATGATAGAGAAAGACATTGAAGTAGTTACTGTTAAGAAAGTAAGATGACTAGAGTAGGGCACTTGGTCAAATAAAGAAAAAGAGGGAATAATTTCCAATCGTAATTAAAGCCGAGGTTTAGCTCATCTGTCAACATCTGGCTACCCAGTTTGAGAGTATTTGACTAGGCCTCTGGAACGATAGAACACAGCTAGCACACGTAAAAACCTAGTACCGCTCACCACTGGCACACGTCAGACGTTTATATTTATATTTAGAGTTAAATGCATGGGTGGCCCATCAACTTGCGCTCTAGTTTCACTTAGATTCATCAACTCTAAAAGTGGGTTTTTGGGTCCATAATCTTTGTCAGTGACGCATTCCAAGCACATACCCCTTTGTTTTAATTTTTGAACCGACGTGGTTGTCCACAGTGACATCCTTTGGCGAGAGAACGTCGGCCGCCCAGTCCATGCTGCTGGCCTCGGGGAGTCCCAGCTTCTTGAGCACCTCTTGCAGCTCGGCGGCGGAGATGAAGCCGTCGTCGTCGAAGTCGAAGACCTTGAACGCCTCTCGCATCTCCTGCTCGTCCTCCTCGCCGCCCTTGCCGCTGTCCGCCCCGACGGCGGCGACGACGCCCCTGCTGGTCCATGGCGCGCCCGAACAAAGGCGCCCCCCGAAGCGGTGGAGCTTGTCGAAGTCCTCGAAGCGGAGGCCCGTGGCGCCGTCGGGCACGTAGGCGCCGACGGTGGCGGCCAAGCCGGCGCGGTCGGCGTCCAGGCCCAGCGCGTCCAGCACCTACGCTAGCTCGTCTACCGTGATCTCGCCATCCCCGGTGCGGTCGAACACGCGGCGGAGGCGCACCGCGTTCAGGCTCCCTTTGCGGAGCCGGAACGACGTCGACGGCATGAACCTCACCTGGTTCGCCAAGCAGGTCGTCACCACGGCCTTCCTAGGCCACCTCGGCGACCTCCAGCTAGCCGCCGGCACGCTCGGCAACAGCTTTGCCAACATCACCAGCTTCGCCGTCCTCAGCGGCCTCTGCGGCGCCATGGAGCCCATCTGCGGCCAGGCGCACGGCGCCGGCAACGTCGCTCTACTGCGCGGGACACTGCTCAGGGCTACGCTCATGCTCCTCGCCGTCTCTGTACCCATCGCGCTCCTCTGGACGCGCGTCGACGTCGTCCTACTGCAGTTCGCCCAGCAGCCCGACATCGCGGACACGGCCAGGACCTACGTACTCTGCCTCCTCCCGGACCTCGCCGTCACCTTCGAGCTCAACCCACTCAAGGCTACCTCAGCGCGCAGGAGGTGACGCTGCCCACGCTGTTCGCCGTCGCGCTGGCGCTGGTGCTCCACATCCCGCTCACCATGTCGCTCTCCGCCAGGATGGGCGTCCGGGGCGTGGCCGCGGCCGTCTAGCTCAGCGACCTCGCCCTGGCGCTCATGCTCGCCGCCTACGTGCTTGCCCATGAGCTCCGCCGGCCAACCAAGCCACCGCAGCAGCAGCAGCAGACGAAGCCAGCAACGGCGGGCGACTGGCTGCTGCTCCTTCGTCTGGGCATCCCCTGCTGCCTCCCCTTGCTGGTCCCTGTCCTTGCTATAAACAGCCAGCACTGTCCTCGCACTCCTCCCGAAATAAAAGAAGTGATTTTGACACCACACAAATTAAAGGAGAGAAGAGAACGCAGGGCAACCAGAGCGCGGCTCCGCTGAAGCACACCAGCAGGGGCGAGCGTGAGAATCTGTACGCCGAGGTCGACCTCGAGCTTGAAGGATGAACACGAACCAGGGCGTGGTGGCGGTGGTGAAGCCGGCGCTGGCGAAGGGGACGTCGTCGGCGTCGTTCCGGCTCCGCAACGGGAGCCTGAACGCGGTGCGCCTCCGCCGCGTGTTCGACCGCAACGGGGACGGTGAGATCACGGTGGACGAGCTGGCGCAGGCGCTGGACGCGCTGGGCCTGGACGCCGACCGCGCCGGCCTGGCCGCCACCGTCGGCGCCTACATGCCCGACGGCACCGCGGGCCTCCGCTTCGAGGACTTGGACAAGCTCCACCGCGCGCCCGGGGACGCCTTCTTCGGCGCGCTCGTGGACCAGTAGGATGGCGCCGCCGCCGGGGCGGACGGCGGCAAGGGCGGCGAGAAGGACGAGCAGGAGATGCGGGAGGCGTTCAAGGTCTTCGACGGCGACGGCGACGGCTTCATCTCCGCCGCCGAGCTGCAGGAGGTGCTCAAGAAGCTGGGACTCTCCGAGGCCAGCAGCATGGACTGGGCGGCCGACGCTCTCCCGCCAAATCGAACCTGGACGCCACGATGGACAACCACGTCGTTTAAAAAATTGAAACAAAGGGGTATGGGCTAGGAATACGCCACTAACCAAGATTATGGACCTAAAACCCCACTTTCAGAGTTGATGAACCTAAGTGAAACTAAAACGCAAGTTGATGGACCACCCATGCATTTAACTCTTATATTTATATACTACTGCATGCAGAAGCAGTAGCATCGGCATCGGCAGCTTCAGCTGGACACAATTCCGTTACGGCACCACCTGCGCGCGTGCTGTGAATTGTGATAGTAGTGGATGATTGATCCTATCGAGTTGGGCACTGGGATTGCGACCGCGCCGACACGTTGCGTTGCCGTTTCTGATAAAGATCCACCATCCTGACGATCATCACCGGTAGCAGCAGCAAGCAAGGAAACAAACAAATACGGCAATAAAGCCCGCGCCAACGATGGAGCATCACCGATCATCGGGTTGAGGGCGGCCGAGCGGGGACGCAACGGATAGCCGGAGGCCCGGAGCCGTGCGGCTCACTGCCACTGCCCGCGCCTCTGCCCATGCGGGCAAACGCGACGGGGGTGGTGGTTCTGCCGTGGAAAAAACCCGCTGGATGGCTGGGATTGGGCGGCGGCGGCCGGGTCCTGTACTGCCCACCCGATATATACGATCGACGTGTGGAGCGACCAACGCAAAAGGAAAAAGGGGAGCAGGTGAGCCAGCAGATCGGCGGCAGGTCCGCGGCCGGCCTGTTGGCCGCAACTGCCGCGGGTTGTTGTTCGCAGCCTTTTTTTTCGTTGGCATTTTCGGCAGCCTGCAGCTAGTCAGCTACTGAGGTCTGACGCACTGAGCTGAAGTGGGAACGTGCGCGATGCCGACTCCTGCTTTCTCTACCGCCATGGGCCTCCACTCTCCAGGTCACACCGGTCGGATCCAGGCACCTTTCTGCCGTCTCTTTGAAAGTGAGATACTGCATATTCCTCCATCAATCCTCACTCATTGCGTTCAAAAAAAAAAAACACCTCGCTCAGGGCCGCGCGTCTACCGTAGTTGCCAGCTCTCGAGAAGAGAACGCGACCTGTGCACTCAAGATGTGGGTTTGCCAATGCAAAATTTGTGAAGGAATTTGGAGATATACTCTTTATTTTTTTGGCTTCTATCTCACGGCAAACCTACTATCCCATTTATTAGAGCTTTCCAACATGAGAGCCTATGGGAGCCTTATCCTATAGAAGTGTAGAGAATGTACCGGAGCTTCGCCCGACACAAAAGCTCGAGCTCCTATCCGAGCATGTAGGACGTATTTGGTTAGGACCATGAACCAAGCAGCTATGGCGAGGCATCCATATATCTCACCATGTCAGCCCCAGACATGGAAAATCCAACGCGTGGGAATGATGTCTCGGCTAGGCAGCTTCAACCAGTCAGCGACCAAACAAGCTCGTATTGCGGCCAAGAGAATAAGACATGGTCACAATTCTTCTGATACAAAGCTAAAGCTCCACGAAGTAACATTTCGAAAGAAAAAGGACAGTGGGACCAGAATAAAGTGATGAGAGTTGTTGCCTACAGTGTGGGATTCACATCTCGGCCTCTATATGCATACGTGGAGTGTTGCATTTTGTTGAGACTACCGCTCCCGAATGCTCATGTTGGGGAAAGTCCGTATCCCAATTGCCAATTAGTCATTTACTAAGAGATTAGATGACGCTCACTATCTCCTTGGTGGGCAAGCAAATGCTCTATATATAGTAGTATAATAACCAAGCTCCTTTTGCTTGGGCTTAGTCGGCGATGTCACCTTGATGTTATTTTTTTTAGAAAACCAATAAGAAATCACCGTTGCTCTACGATGGTAAATACCTGGATACTTTTCTTTGCTGGCTTCTCAATACATCAGAAAAGGTCATCATTGTCGGACTATCATTATCTGTTGCTTTTGAAACCAGCAGTGGTAGGGTATCGGTCACTAGGGCTTCGTAGTTTTAACCGACAGTGATAGTGTCAGGTGAAGCTACGAACTGACAGTTATAGGTCCACCTATCACTGTTGAGTCGTAGTTTGAACCGCCAATAATAAGTTGTTTTTGCATAAGAAAAAATTATAATTTTTTCATATGAGATCGGATCAATACAAACTTTATACCACAACTGTAGAGTTTAAAGAGATAAAAAGTTTTCTAGTTCATAACTTTTTAATTTGAGATGGTTTGCAAGTCTAAATATTCAATACAAGTTTTTGGAACAAATTTAAGATGATTAATAATATCGAATGGACATGAAGTCAACATCAAAGTGTAGTACTCGACGAGATTTATAATTTTGCAGTTATCAACTTTTTCATCTAAGACCGTTTAAAATGCCAAATATATAATACAAGATTTAAACTTTTTAGTTAAAAGAATAATATTAGCTACTCCCTCCGTCCGGGAATAAATGCAATTCTGGAGTCTAGGGCGTTGTCCACGAAAGAATGCAAGTTTAGGGCATGTTTGGTTCCAAATAAGTCACCTACTTATAAGTTAAAAAGTGAAAAAGTGACTTATTTTACAAAACACCACCAACTTATAAGTCACCCCTGCTTATAAGTTTTAGGGCCTGTTTGGTTCCAAACAAGTCACCTACTTATAAGTTAAAAAGTGAAAAAAGTGACTTATTTTGCCAAACACCACCAACTTATAAGTCACCCCTGCTTATAAGTTTTAAGTTGGTTCACCCCTGCTTAAAACTTATAAGTCACCATTTTCGCGTGGGGCCCACACTTTTAATGAGCTTATAAGTCATTTACAACTAAACAGGCATGACTTATAAGTCACTGGTTTTCAGTTACCTGACTTAATAAGTTACCTGACTTATGGAAACCAAACAGGGCCTTAAGTTGGTTCACCCCTGCTTAAAACTTATAAGTCACCCTTTTTCGCGTAGGGCCCATACTTTTAATAAGCTTATAAGTCATCTACAATCAAACAAACAGACATGACTTGTAAGTTACTAATTTTCAGTCATATGACTTAATAAATCACCTGTCTTATGAAAACAAACAGACCCTTAGACTGCCGGAGCTAGCAACGTGAAAAGCTAGTAGCTTGCCTGTCACCCGCGTCAGCGGACATTGCAGTGCATGCATGTGTAACTGAGATGCAAAATAATAAAATATTGTACTGTTCGGTGTTGGAGGCAGCTACTGCATGTCTGCAGACTGCAGTGGCAGCAGGCATCAGATGCAGTGGGTTCTCCTAGGGCTATAAGGGGTTTTTTTGGTCTCTTAGTCCGGCCTGGGATGTAAGAATTGCATCCTTTGCCAAATTACATGTGTTGTGTAGCTCAGCTGATAGTTATTATAATTTACCGGTCCACTAGCCTATGCATCCATTACAACACATTTGCTAGACTATGCATCCATTACCACGTATATGCAATGACAAACCAGTCATGGTCCTCCTTGTTTACACCACTAAATCCATGGCTTGCGACGACACAACCACGTGACGAGCGACCTCAATGCAATGTTACAAGGAGGGATGTAAGTTGGCATGTAAGAATATCTTCAGAAGTTTTATAAAATAACTCCTTATTTTAATATTTTTGTAAAAGGAAAAAAAATATCATCTAACAATTTAGTAAAAGAGCTTCTTAAAAATAAAAAGGTGCCAAATATCCTCTCAAACTCGTAAGTTTTCGTAGTCCAGAGTAACTCCGTATTCGCTCCGTGTCCAAAATTTTATCGGGAGATCAGAGTAAATTGGACGTACGCGTAAATTAAGAAAATAAAGGATTCCATATGAGAAAGCGATAAGAGACAAATAAACTGTATTAAAAATAATTGGCTATTTAAAAATAGTTTGGAGTTCCTATTCAAAATCGTTTACAAAGCAATTATATGTTGGAGAAGGACAAAATTTAAAGTCGCTAAAATTAACTTGCTACTAGATCTATTAGTTTAGCAAGTAAATTATACAACAATACCTAAAATTAATTTCAAAATTTTGGATTAACAACCTTTCCAATAAGTATTGAAAAGGAAAAAAAACAATCCATCAACAACAGATATGGATTATGGATTGTGCCATTTCTACTATCTTGGGCCAGTGGCTGTGTTGGGTCACGTGCTCCGTGCTCAAGTGAATGGTCAAGGTAGCTAGAAAGAGCCTGGCCCGGTTGCCCATTGCTCATGGATCATACATGCTGCTCTCATAGGTCCACAACTGAGTTATGGCCCGTGCGTTGCTCTGGAAGTAGTGGGTTGCACAACTCAGGCTCCGTTTAGTTTCACCCAAAATCTAAAAATTTTTGTGCAGTACTTGTCACATCGAATCTTGCGGCACATGCATGGAGTACTAAATGTAGCGAAAAAAAAACTAATTACACAGTTGGCCGAGAAATCGTGAGACGAATCTTTTAAGCCTAAATAGTCCATAATTAGACAATTTTTATCAAATACAAACGAAAATGCTACAGTAGCTAAAAGCCAAAAATTTTCGGACTAAACACGCCCTCAATCGGGGCAAATAGATTCTTTTTGAGAATCTGGGCAAATAGATTCTGAATATTCCTCACACATCCCATCGTTCTTCGTGGAGGACATGTCGCGGCACGGCGACAGAGAGTGCTCACCGAAAGGCCAAAACCAAGCCTCCTTAGGAAAAAAAGATTTTAAAAAACTATGAGTTTACACTAAAAAATGGCATGTAGGTAACTAATTACTTTTGGCTCTAATAATCCGATAGTTGAGCAAAGTTTTTTTTTTTGGCAAATCCATTTGAACAATCAACTTAAGGGTCATTTTGTTTCAACTTTTTGCTGGCTTCTGCCAGCTAGAAGCTAGAAACTGAAACAAACAGCCCAATTATTTAGCTCGCTATTGAAAACTAGAAAGTTAGCTACTGAGGAAATAAACTCAAAGCTAAAAAGCACGTTGAGAAATGCTTTTCTAGCTTTTGGTGTGCGAGACAGAAATAAGTTCTCCTAGCTTTTGGTGTGTAGAAAACTAAAGATTTATTGAAAAACCAATAACAAAAACCAACAGCCAGAACACGAAAACCAGAAAGCCAGCTTTTGAGCCAAAATCTCAAAAGCTACAGCTGAAATAAACATGCCTTAAGCTACGTACTCCTAGGCCAGTATCAGTGGACATTTGGATTTCATTTGTATTTAATAAATTCTCACATAAGCATTTTTTATTATGTGACAACGTTTTTAAATAGAGAGAATAATTGAGTTTTATGAAGATGGAACTCTATTGGCTTTGATTTTCAACTCTAGATGAGTCATGAAATTAAATATGCATAATACATAAAACACTAAAATGAAGCTATACATTAAAGACAATTGTTTTATCTATGTTTTATTGTATTTTTCTAACGTGATATTTTTGGACACGAACGCTAGAAAATTCTTCACTCAGATAACCGTGGAGTTGCTGCTGATGTAAGACATGTCTAGGAAGTGGTGTAAGAACGCTGAAACCCTCCACATGACCAAAACCATGTAGCTTATTTACTTCGCGTGTGTTTGGCTGCCGCCACAGCTGTGGCCACGCCACAAGTGCGGCTGACAAAACGGACGCCCAACAATTGACGTGCGGTGGCACGCGATTTGCAATACCGTCTGCGACGCGCGCCAAAACAGCGGTAAACTGCGGCGGCGGCGACGTTTGGCTCCCACGGCGTGCCGCATGTGCGGCGCGGCGGCCTGCGCCGTGGTTTGGAAGCCATCCAAACACGCCCTTCGTACCTCATCTCGCTACTCCCTTCCAATATAAGAGCATGAGTTCAGATTATCAGATAATCAAACTGAGAAAATCCTAAATTAACCAATCAAACATTTTTTTGGTAAGGATCTTTCATATATTAATTTAGCAACAAATAACAAAGATGGGACATAATGTTCCCCACTCAATGTTTTGGAGTGGTTGTATAGTAGCACAATTCCCATGGGGAGCCCAATTCAAGCACTCAAATTCAGGGCACATCACCCTATACAAATTACGGGTTGAGCATGTACTACCCTTTAACAAGGGGCTCAACAGTTTCAAGAGGCATCAACAACGTGACGAGTGACGACTATTGAGTTTTCTAGGCCATGCCATCAAGACCTAACATGGCAAACATGGAACCAATTCAAATACTTCGAAGCTATTAAAGGAAAGCATGAATTTTCACACAACATACCGCTCAACATTGCGACACATCTCAACCTACACAATCAAGCAACACAACATCTTACCTCACAAAATAATATAATTTTGTGCCAACCTGTATTACAGTAATTTACAAACTAGAATCATTGGTTTTCGATGCCGACAATATTGCTTACTCGGCGTGTCAAGATCGACAAGGCACACATGAACATTTTTCTCTCAACCGAGGGCAAGCGCCCACGCAAAAATGAACCCGGACATAATAAAGTGAAGTGTAAAAAATCCACGCAACACACGCGGAACATTATAGAACATATGAACATACATAAGCAACATTGGTACTCATGACACATCACCCAACCCAACTGTGAACATCTCATGAACTAGGGGACCCACAGTTGGACAAACAAAACATTGGACCCACAGGGTGACACGTCCAGCTTCTATACAGGACCACCACACTTCACAGTTAAAACAAGGCGTGAACGAAAGAACAAATTTTGTTCTGTTTAAATGGCAAGAGGGGAGGCATTTCCAGAGAGGTGTTGTGCTGTTCATTTGCGGCTTGTAAATTAATTCTATTTCAGAGAGAGGAGTTGAGAATGAGAAGAAAGTGAGGTGCGTTGCTGGGAAGTGGTTCTTGTGAGGTTTAGGAGTTCTTTTTTCCTTTCAAGAAATGGAGATGGCCCTACGGTCGCAGAGCCCTCTCTGCCTCCGGAGCGGGCCGGTGCTCATTGTCCGGCCAACAGTCGCGGGCGGAGGGGCCACTCAGGTATGGCGGCGCTTAATCCCAAGTTCTTGATTCTACCAAGTATTGGTTCGCATGCGTCAATGCGTGATCTCTTCGATGTCATTTATAGAGGACCGCGTTACTATTCGGCTTGATCCTCGATCTATTTGTTTATTGGTGAGTTGCCTTCGTAGCTGGTTTCGATAATCTTCCATTTTGGGGATCAGGGCGGATTCGGCGTGATGCGGGTGTTTGATGACCGTCTCCATTCGATGAATTTTGCTCGTTTTACCCACCTTAAATGGAAGCTATCTATAGGCGACGCGATTTACATGTATATTTTCCTGAAAGCCTTTTCCTTTGTTCTGAATTTCTTGGAAGTGTTCTTTGAACAGATTTTTTAGGGTACTTTCTGCTTCATTTGTTTTGGCCCGTATGATCAAGGAAATGTCTCTTCCTTTGGACATCTAGGATGGCGAGGATAGTTTGATTCACGAAAGACTGCTCCATTGGAGGATGCATAAACTTTGAAGTGAAAATTTAGGAAGTTTCGCTACCATGCTCTAGCCTTTTGTTGATTGTAAACATGTAGTATGCAGCGGCACAAATAATCAGACAGTGATTTGGGGGAAATTCGTATGTAGTATTCATCACCATAGGCAATCCAGTACTGAACTTTTGAGATTAATCATATAGTGATTTGGGGGAAATTCGTATGTAGTATATTCATCACCATAAGCTGCAGAACTTATCTTTTTCCGTTCTATTGGTATTTTCAGTCTTTGTTGAGGACTACCAGATTTGTGAGAAGAAGGATCATTCAATGCGTTGTAGCAAGTCCAGGTCTGTGGAACAGTTCTGTTGAATGCTTATTTGGTCTGCTTGCTGTTCTACTGATCTCATGCTTTCTAATGTTGCAATATGCAGGTTGTCCTAATAGGAAATCAAGGATGTCTCCTAACGTAAAAGTAGCTGCTTTTAGCAACTATGCTCCAAGACTCCTTGTTGAGTCAAGCTCCAAGAAGAGTGAACACCATGATGGCGGACACCATGAAGAAACTATTGATACATACAATGGGCTGTCAGGTTCTGATGCAGCAGAGTTGACAAGTAATAGAGATGCAGAAATTGCAGCGGATTTGCAGCACATGTATGAGGGGGAATTGCCAGGAAATGTATTGATTAATACATCATTAGGGGAAATGGAAACAGTGGATGAAGCTGAGGTTGAGGAGGATAAGTTTGAGGTAGATTTCTCAGGAATTGTATTGCGCAATGCTGAAGTTTGGGAAGTGGATCCAGAGGATGAACATAAGGCTAAAGAAGACGTATTTGTGGTAGATTCGTTAGGAACTGCACCAGATAATGCTGCAGTGGAAGAAGTGGTAGATGAAGTTGAGGTTGAAGAGGATATGGTTGATGTGGATATCTTGGGACTTGCCTTGAATGGTGTAACAATGGAGGAAATGGATTTGATAGATGAAGAAGAGGCTTTACAGGAGAACTTTGATGTCGATTCACCAGGCAATGCTTCAAGTGGTGGAACATATGGGGGTGCGGATGAGTTGGGTGAACAGCCTTCAACATCCATGGATGGCATCGCCCTTAATGAAACACGTAGAAATTTGAAGCCTGAGCCCTTGCCAATTGTCAGGTACCAGGAACAAGAAAAAATAGTTTTAAGCATTGTTGAGGAAGAAGGGTTAATTGTTGGTTCATGTGAAGAAGGCCAACTGGTGGTAGATTACCATAAGCAAGAGGAAAACTCTACCGCTTTTGATGAACAGAAGCAATTGACTGACGGATTCCCTGAACAAGGTATATATATTGTTCAGTTCCCTGAGCGAAACAATGATATTGTTGGTTCCCCAAAATTCTTGGAGCAAAAACAAGAATTTGTTGGTTCCTATAAACAAGATCGATCAATCATTGGATTGCATGAACAAGACCAGTCCATTGTTGGTTCACATGGACAAGATAAATCAATTGTTGGTGTGCCTCAGCAAATCCAGTACACTGATCAATCTATTGCTGGTTCTCATAGACAAGATGAATCAATTGTCGGTGCACCTGAGCAAATCCAATCCGTTGCTGGCTATATAAAACCAAATCAGTCTATTGTTGGTTCTTATAGACAACATGAATCGATTATTGTTGCGCCTGAGAAAGTCCAATCCATCATCAGTTACAGTGAAATAGATCAATCTATTGTTGGTTCTCACAAACAAGGCAGATCTGTTGTTAGTGTGCCTGAGCAAACCCAATCCATTGTTAGTTACAACAAACCAAATCAATCTACTGTTGATTCTTATAGACAAGCTGAATCAATTATTGGCGTGCCTGAGAAAGTCCAATCCATCATCAGTTACGATAAACTAGATCAATCTATCGTTGGTTCTCTTAAACAAGATGAGTCTATTGTTAGTGTGCCTGAGAAAATCCAATCCATTGTCGGTTACACTAAACCAAATCAGTCTATTGTTGGCTTGCCCAAACAGCAACAATCAATTGTTCATATCGATGAACGAAAACAATCCATAGCTGGTTTCCCTAAACAAGATCTATCAATCGTTGGTATCTCTAAGGAGTCTCAAACAAAGCAACTGGCTACTGTTGGGATTCATGATGGATTGCTTATGAAGGGAGTGGAAGCTAAGGAGACATCTCAAAAGATTGAAGGGGATACACTTCAGGCAAAGTTCGATGCTGACAACTTGTCACAGAAACATAAGGAAGTCTTCACTAAAGAAGCAGATGAGAGAATAATTTTTGAGAAAATTAATGATGAAGATCTTGTGATGATTGAAGAGCAGAAAAGCATAGGCATGGTTGAAGAACAGATGATTGTTACTGAGGAAGACATTCCAATGGCTAAGGTTGAGATAGGGATTGACAAGGCCAAATTTTTACATCTGCTTTCTGAAGAAGAGAGTTCATGGGATGAAAATGAAGTGGGGATAATTGAGGATGAAGAACAGTATGAAGTCGAAGAAACATCTATGTCCACTGAACAAGATATCCAGGAGTCATCTGAAGATAATGTGGATCCACAAGCACTACAGAGGATGCTTCAAGAGCTTGCTGAAAAAAATTGTTCGCTGGGAAACAAGTTGTTTGCTTATCCAGAGGTATTGAAAGCTGATTCAACAATTGATCTCTATTTCAATCGTGATCTATCAGCTGTGGCCAATGAGCCTGACGTACTCATCAAAGGAGCATTCAATGGGTGGAAGTGGAGGTTTTTCACTGAAAAATTGCATAAGAGTGAGCTGGGAGGGGGCTGGTGGTGCTGCAAACTATACATTCCCAAGCAGGCATACAGAATGGACTTTGTGTTCTTTAATGGACGCACGTTATATGAAAATAATGACAATAATGATTTTGTGATACAAATACAAAGCACCATGGATGAAAATTTATTTGAGGATTTCTTGGCTGAAGAAAAGCAACGAGAACTTGAGAAGCTTGCGAATGAGGAAGCTGAAAGAAGGAAACAGACCGACGAGCAGTGGCAAAGGGAGGAAGAAAGGGCTGCAGCTAAAGCTGACAGGGCACAAGCCAAGGTTGAGGTAGAAACGAAGAAGAATAAATTGCACAATGTATTGGGTTTAGCCAGAGCTTCTGTTGATAATTTGTGGTACATTGAGCCCATCACGTCTAGACAAGGGGCTACTGTCAGATTGTATTATAATATAAACTCAAGACCTCTAGTTCACAATACTGAGATATGGATGCATGGTGGCTGTAACAATTGGATTGATGGACTCTCTTTTGCTGAAAGACTTGTTCATCATAGCGACAAAGATTGTGATTGGTGGTTTGCAGATGGTATGCCATCTAACACTTATCTGCAAATTGTATCTCATAACATCTTAACAAACTCTACTGCTAGCATGGTACTCCTTAAATATAGCATGGCATTCTGTATTTTGATAGTCCCATGAAGAGAAAAAAGGACTACTAACTGATGTTGGTTTCTTAAAGTAGACATATGATGACATGAATGGCGTATCTTGGAGTCTTTAAGTTTATTATTTACTCCATAACTACAAAGATAACACCTGGCCTTTTATGTATAGTTGTCTTACCTGAAAGAACATATGTGTTGGACTGGGTTTTCGCTGACGGGCCGCCAGGGAATGCAAGGAATTATGACAACAATGGAGGACATGATTTTCATGCTACCCTTCCGAATAACATGACTGTAGAAGAATATTGGATGGAGGAAGAACAAAGGATCTATACAAGGCTTCAACAAGAGAGGAGGGAAAGGGAGGAGGCTATTAAAAGGAAGGTCAGTTGCAATAGGCCCTGTGTGGTTCTGGTGTTTTTGTTTGAACCTTTAGCTTGACCAATTGTAAATCTAAAATGAAGTTACAACATCATAAATGATCGAACTTGCCCATAAGCAGTCATTTTGAGTAGTTAAAAAGATTAATCTCTGCTTGATTTTTTCACCGTTAAACATGTGGTTTTAAAAAGTTTGTCCATATTAACTAGTCTGTTAAGACAACAGAGCTAAACTGACCATTTGAATCATTCATCACTTCAGCCTTGCAAGTTTAATCACTAACTTTTGTTGGCCCAACTAAGGAACAGCATACCTTCAGAGTATCGTTTGTCCAGCTTTATGTTACAAAAAAATGGAGCACTTCTTTCTATACGATATACCAAATTCTCGAAATTTTATTGACAGATATGGTGGGGATTCTTTTAGTTGACTTTTGCTTCCTTTTGATTGAGCAGGCTGAGAGAAATGCAAAAATGAAAGCTGAGATGAAGGAAAAGACTATGATAATGTTCCTGGTTTCTCAGAAACACATTGTTTACACAGAACCACTTGAAATACGTGCTGGAACTACTGTTGATGTGCTTTATAATCCTTCTAATACAGTGCTAACTGGAAAACCAGAGGTTTGGTTTCGATGTTCCTTTAACCGCTGGATGTATCCAGGTGTGGGGTGTTGCCACCTCGGAAGATGGTACAAGCAGAAAATGGTTCACACTTAAAAACAACAGGTTCGAAATTCCTATGTTATTGTTCTTAGTATTAATACCTTTTCCAGTGGTTCATTTTTATGCAATTAATATAGTCAAGAGCTGCTAGAGCACTGGTCATCAAGTAGCTCAAGAACTTAAAATTGTATTGTAGTGTGATGTCTAATCCATATATAGACATGATATAATCTTTACTCACGAAACTGAAAACAAAAAAAATGGCACAACTAGATTATTTTAGAGGATCTAGCTAATTTAATGTCATAAGAAATATGCTATAAGTTTTTTATTGAAGTTTTTAGAAAGGTTGTAATTGAGAGAATGTAGCTACTACAAAGCATTGAAGGTATAGCCCTATTTTGCTTTAGAATCTTATTGTTGCCGCCAGAAAGAGTTTAAACTGCTGCATTTCCCTAGGATAGTTAGTCAAACCTTGATAAAATGTGTCACCTTTTCATCCATATTAGATCAAATTCATGTTGAATCCTGTCTGCTTTTTTATATACTATTTTTGGAACATTGTTTTTTATATTCATGCAGTGAGATATTACTTCTCCTTGAGTTCCCTTGTAATAATTAGATTTAGCACAGAGATGCATAAAAACATTTCTATTCCCTTTATTTGTTCTTAGTTCTCAAGTAGAGTGCTCCTTCTCCAGTTTACGTTCCGCAAGATGCCTATATGATGGACTTTGTTTTCTCGGAATCAGAAGAAGGTGGAATTTATGATAACAGGAATGGGTTAGACTATCATATTCCTGTGTTTGGTTCAATTGCAAAAGAACCACCTATGCACATTGTCCACATTGCTGTTGAGATGGCACCAATCGCAAAGGTTATTCATATTTCTGAGTTAAATTCATACTATTAGCGCAAGAGTGACAACTTACATCACCGTTTCTCTTTTATTGTTGCATAACACTAATAGTATTCTGTCTGACCAATGCTATCACAGGTTGTAGGTCTTGGTGATGTTGTTACTAGTCTTTCACGTGCTGTGCAAGATTTAGGACACAATGTGGAGGTTATTCTTCCAAAGCACGATTGCTTGAATCTAAGCAATGTAAGTTAAAAGTGCCCTACAACATCCCTTGCTGCTTCTCTGCTGTGACAAGTGAAGTGCTTTGTAGCAAGAACTGAAGTTGACATCTCCACGTTAGGAGCAACTTGGTTTACAATTCTACTCTATTATGTATGTGCTTCCTCATAGTTCAGTCACTTATTCCTTGTGTAGATGGATAGCTTATGTTAAGTATGAGGAATGCCTTGGAATTGTTGATTTGTAGCTTAGTACATCAAGTAGAATTACTTGGTTTTTATTCTTTTTGGACCATTGAGTTATATGGAATGATTGAGGCAAACATAACTTACTGAGTAATCTGATAAGAAATACATCAGAAGACAGATATTGGGTATATGATAAATTTTACCTCTCTTATCAATTAATATGCGTCTGTTACAATGCAGGTCAAGAATTTACACATCCATCAAAGTTTTTCTTGGGGTGGTTCTGAAATAAAAGTGTGGCGTGGACTAGTCGAAGGCCTTCGTGTTTACTTCTTGGAACCTCAAAATGGGTATGTATCAGCATATTGTTTACAGATATAAAAGCCTTAGTGTCACTATTTCACTAAGCTCGAAGTCCTAGAACCTTGTACTGGTTTGTAAGTGGCAATATAGAATTGTTAGACTGCTTTGAGTACTGTGAATTTAAGTATCACTATTCCAAGCCTATGTTTAGTTTTTCTAAATATAAAAGCCTTAGTATCACTATTCCAAGCCTATTTTTAGTTTTTCTAGAATATAAGTACTCTGAATTTCGTCATATGTGTATATCAGTTTAATGATCTATCTGTCACATTTGGTACATATCTGCTGGGACTTTCTTGCAAGAGGTTTCAAAAGATAATTTGGCACTTACCTTTTCAGGATGTTTGGAGTCGGATGTGTATATGGAAGGAACGATGACCGCCGATTTGGCTTCTTCTGTCATTCTGCTCTAGAGTTTCTCCTCCAGAGTAGATCTTCTCCGGTAAGTACTAGTATTCACAACAGCAGCTGTTATATTGTTTTAACTACTCTCTGCATTCCAATTTGTAAGTCGTTTTGGCTCTTCTAAATGCATAGCTTTCATATCTAGACGTGCTGTATATCTTTTTTTTAGGAAATCAGGAGGGGCAAGCCCCTACTGGATAATATATTAAATAGAAAAATATTAAAACAGTTTAAGTTTACAGTGTAGAACTTCAAGAAACAAAAAAGATTAACCAAACTAGAAAGATTAAACTAGTTTGTCTTGCCATTGGTCGATGAAAGGTGAGTAGCTTCTTTTTGCGCATACAAGCACATAATGTATATCTAAGTGTGTAACAAAAGCTATGTACCTAGAAAAGCAGAACGATTTACAATTTAGAATGGAGAGAGTACCTTATTTACTAGTGTCTTTGCTGTTCGACCCTTTTTGATATTTAGCATACCTATAGATCATCGTTCAAATACTCACACACAACACACGCGCGCACACACGTGCACACACAGAGCCAAACGGCACTTAGCAAAATGAGCTCGTCACTTAATAAACAAGAGAGAATTGGCAAGAGATACAAGCTCTACTAAGGATCTTTCCCAACTATTTAGCACGTTCTGCAATAAAAAAAATTACATTAGTCATTCTATTTTCCATTCCTTCACTATTTTAGTTATCTTTATTATTAGCCTTCCATTTTAAAAATATTTTAATGTATTCTGATTTGCAGCGAAGTTGCCTTATTTGCTTATTTCTGTTAGCTTCTCATTGAAACCGCTGACATCTTATCCTCCTTACAGAACATAATACATTGCCATGATTGGTCAAGTGCTCCTGTTGCCTGGCTATACAAGGAAAACTATGCACGGGTGGTATTCACCATCCACAATCTTGAATTTGGAGCGCATTATATTGGCAAAGCAATGAGATATTGTGATAAAGCCACAACTGTGAGTGATAAACTTTGCATAATTCAATATTGTGTTTGACACACTCGCGTCACTGAAATACATATTGTTACACTGTAGAGTCATGTTCTTTTGATGTTTATCTATTCACATATATCCATTCTTTGCAGGTCTCTAATACATATTCAAGGGAGGTGTCAGGTCATAGTGCCATCGTTCCTCATCTTGGAAAATTCTATGGCATTCTCAATGGAATTGATCCAGATATATGGGATCCGTACAATGACAACTTTATCCCGGTACACTTTATTATTCATATACATTTTTTTTATTGTAATATATTTATTCCACGCTACTTGAACTTAGTAAAATGGAACAAAGAGCTGCAATAATAATACTTTTTTTTTTCAAATGACCTAGTTTTGCTTAGATGGGCACTTAAGACCTTAAGTTATATATATGCACACTCTCAAGTTTGAACAGTCATTTCAAGTAATGTGTGTGCATGTGATGGTTTTCTTAATCTGCATCTCTTTAATTTCCTTGCTTTGGCGCTGTTAATGTTGTCCAAAAATGCTACTTATACATGGTGGGTGTGGCAAATAGTTTCCTGTTTAAATGTTCGTTCCAATGAATTTCAGGTCCACTACACTTCTGAGAATGTCATTGAAGGCAAGAGGGCTGCTAAGAAGGCATTGCAGCGGAAGTTTGGGTTACAGCAAATCGATGTGCCCATCGTAGGAATCGTCACTCGCCTGACAGCCCAAAAGGGAATCCACCTCATCAAGCATGCGATTCATCGAACACTTGAACGGAATGGACAGGTCCTTCGATCCCTTGCATGGCCGATAAAACTTCAAACATTCTTTCTTTCCTTAATTTGTGGCTTCCTGTCATCTTGAAACTAATAAGAATGATATATATTTGGTTTCCAGGTGGTTTTGCTTGGTTCGGCGCCAGACCCTCGAATCCAAGCTGATTTTGTCAACTTGGCGAATACGCTCCACGGCGTAAACCATGGGCAAGTGAGGCTGTCCTTGACCTACGATGAGCCTCTTTCGCATCTGGTGAGCTGACAAAGCACCTAATCAACCCCCTCAATCTTTCATTGAAGTATCTATGAAACCGGCTAATATAGTTCTTTCCATGGTCCTCTTCTGTTGCAGATATACGCTGGTTCTGACTTCATTCTGGTACCATCTATATTTGAGCCTTGCGGCTTAATTCAGCTCGTCGCCATGCGGTATGGAACCATCCACGGACGGAGCTACGTGGGGGCCAAACTGGGTCCTGGCCCCCCCTTGCTCCGGCTGCACTCTACAGGTTTGCATGTCGCTGCATGTATGTAATTAATTTCTACATCTCTTGTACCATGCTTGCTGTTGCTGATTAGTGGATTACAGCTTACAAGTATATAAATCTGTACATTGTTCATTCTTCTTTGACAGGATTTCAATTGTTCATTGCAGTATATATAGATAGAACTTGAAAAAACAAAGATTTTCCACAGAATTTCAATTGTCTGTACTACTATTGGTAAATACTGTAGCAGTGTACCTTTGAATTGGCCCCCCTACACATTCATGCAAGCTCCGTCGCTGGAACCATCCCTGTTGCCGCAAAACAGGAGGTACGTATACGTGAACCATTCTCCATTTGCCGTCAAACTGTACTCTGCAATCTGCATATAGAGTGGGTTGAAGTGAACACAACACAAGATCTGATCTCTCGTGCTGCTCATCAGGGCTCTTCGACACTGTCTTCGATGTGGACAATGACAAGGAACGAGCCCGAGCTCGAGGCCTTGAGCCCAACGGGTTTAGCTTCGAGGGAGCTGATAGTAACAGTGTTGACTATGCCCTGAACAGGCAAGCACAGAGTCTCACAGAGCCGCCCGGTTCACTGAACCCTGCGATTCTTACTCATCGTGCCATTCGCGTGTTCCATTTTCAGGGCGATCTCTGCTTGGTTCGACGCCCGGAGCTGGTTCCACTCCCTTTGCAAGAGAGTCATGGAGCAGGACTGGTCATGGAACCGGCCTGCCCTGGACTACATCGAGCTCTATCGTTCAGCGTCCAAATTGTGACAGTCCAACCAACAGCCAATATAATGTGTTGTCAGATCTCAGATGCAGTCATTCAGGTTTTGCAGGTTCCTGGGCATTATTGCTGTACAGCCTCCATGTCTTCAGTTAGCTCCATTCTCCGAAGAGCATAGTGAAAAGAGTTAGGGTCCACTAATGTGACTGGGTTTCCTAGGTGCGTGCAATTTTTGTACCTCAGTTATGCATAAATTGTTTGAGAAGATTGGTTTCTTGGGGCATGTATGTTTGTTTCCTCTGTTGTTGAATTCAGGGCTTAAGTCTTATATATAGGAATTCTACAGGAAATGAAAGGTCCATTTCCTGCGTCAATCCTTTAGGGCTACCATGCACATGAGGCCTTTAAAATGTAAAGACTATTATGTAATGTAGTATAGATCAAAGAATTGGCCTCGTGGTTTCTCGAGACAGCAGGCACCCACCCACACTCCAATATGTCACGTAGTTTGGTTTTTACCCTTGAAATATGTTTCGGTAAAATATTTAGCCCTCCACGTATACCACTATTTAAGGGGTCACATGTATGCATGATCATTTACGATTTGAATAATTTAGATGATAATACAAGCACTAGGACTAATATTTGTGTCAATTAGACATGCTCTCTAGATCCTAATGATGCAAGATGAACTTGGCTTCCCTCCACGTGCAAGTGGGTCTCTCTGTGGCCTCTCCCGGACCGTTTCCCATCATCTCCGGTATCGCAGCTGAATTGCTACGAGCGATCCTAAGGTAGTAGGAGCAGTTACACCTAGCTGCATCTCTTCTTATCAAAGCAGGGAGCTTTGGCCGCCGCTCAGGGTGGCCACGATAGCAGAATTAATTTGGTCCGCTTGATCTTCGTTTCCACGGCTGAGCCCCGGCCGACCCACTGTGCGCCCATGGCCGCTCCCGGTCGCCTGTCTTCTCTATGTTCCTACTTCCCGTCCCACTCAGCCTCCCGGTTTGTTCGCTTTTCTCGTCTGTGTCGTCCTCGCCCGCTTCGTTCTCTCCGCCGTCGCCGTCGTTCACGCCTCCGTGGGTCGCCTCCCGGGCTCCTCCGGTTGACTGGGTTTGCTTCCTCTCCTTTTCTCCTCCGTTATTTTGCCTGCCGATTTGGTTTCTGTCGTCCCCGCTTGTTCCGCCTCCTCCTGCCCTGCTCTCTTCGTTGCCTTTGCGATTTCCTGCCCCGGTGTTCATCCTGCCCGGTGCTCCTATGCCCGCCCTACGCCCTCCGCGCTTCGTTGCCCTCGTTCTTGGACGTCGTCTGCAACTCCTGTTTGCGTCTAGGGTTCCCATGCTACAGTTGCGGATCCCCCCCTGTTCTTGCCGCCTCCGCCCTGGCCGTCTTGGCCGAATCGGCCCGCCGTGCTTCGTGACCGTGGTTCGTGCCTGTGCTATCCGCCTATTCCTTGCGCCTGCCGTTGACGCCCGCTGGTTCGCCCCCCTTTGCCCTGTTCCTGATGCCTTCGCCATGGCCCTGGTTGCTCCTGCTTCCTTTACCCTGCTTCCCGCAGCGTTTGTTTTCTTGTCCTCCTGTGCTCTTTTGGTATGGTTGGGGACCTGCAGTTGATGCCGGTGTGCTCTCCACAGAGCTTTTCCCCTTCTCTGTGGTTGATTTCTTGGTTCCTGTTTCGCTTGCTTTTGTTTTCGGGCCTGATTTCCCCTCTGCTGTGTGTACTAATACTTGACTTTGTTTCCAGGTTTCTTGCCTACCGTTGCGTCGCCGCTCCGGATCTACTATGTAGCTGCTTGTTGCAGATGCGCTATGGCTGGACCTTAGCTTACTCTTACTGCCGGTAATTTAGTCTGCTTTGTTTGCGGCCTCAAATGCCATGTTTGCTGTGTCCTTACATTTTTCTGCTTATTACGAACAATGTCCTCACAGTTGTGTGGTTCGTACGAAAAAATAGAGCTTCAGCATATTTCGTTCCAGTGTACGAACGCCGTCGGAATGCTTAGATTTTGCTTACATGCTTTCCTGATCCTGTTCGTAATGCTACCTGCTTCGCCGGTTATTTTCCGGTGTACGAAGGCCGTCGGAATGCTTAGATTTTGCTTACATGCTTTCCTGAGCCTGTTCGTAGTGCTACCTGCTTCGCCGGTTATTTTCTATGAGCTTAGGGTATGTGTCAACTGGTTGTGGCCGTTATTTTGCTTCTGTGTTGTCCACAGAGGTTTACACGTATATGTGTGCTGTTTTCTTCTGTGCTATCCTTTGATTTTCAGGTCTTTAAGATTGGTTCATGTGTTACAGGTGCATTGTGCAGCTTCCATCGTACTCCTTCATCCTTGTGCTTGCTCTAGCCTTACCAGATATCCAAGGTGTCATGATGTGGTGAGGTGCATCCAGTAAATCCGACCATATTTGTATGCCATTGTTGTTTTGCCTATTATGTTGACCATGTTTCAATGCCGATGGTGCTGAAAATAGTTTGTTTCCCCTCTGAATTATGGCACGTGAGAATAGCCAGTTATAGTTATCGCTTTTTAATGGTCAAGTCCGAGCATATTTGTATGCCATTGCTGTTTTGCCTGTTATGTTGACCGTATTTCGGTGCCGATGATGCTGAAAATAAATTTGTTCCCCTCTGAATAATGGCATGTGAGAATAGACAGTTATAGTTATCGCTTTTTAGTGGTCTTCTGGTTCTCGTTTCAAGTCAGTCGTAGCCATATGTTGTGATGAAGACTTGGTCTTTTATGATATTTGCATTATTTCTTCTTCTTGTGCTCATGAATTCTATTAGTCTTATTAAACCAAATATATTAAGTATACATGACAGTGCAGTGGACTTGGTATAGCCAAGGTTTCTTGAAATTTTTGGATTACATCTGTCCTCTATTCTGTGTTTCCAGTCATGAATGCTAATAAGCTTATGAAAACACATATTAACTACAGATGCCAATGCAGTGCATTTGGATTTAACATGGTTTCTTTAATTTTTTTTGGGTGGTGCAATTAGATATATATATATATATATATATATATATATATATATATATATATATATATATATATATATATATATATATATATATTCCCGAACGCTACTGCATTGTACTTATTATTTGGGAGGCCAAAGCATTTAAGCGTGTACCATAGGTTGATTAAAATTTTAAGAGCCATATAGATATAGATTACAAATGGGCGCTGAAATTTTACAGCCACAGTCTCGTTGTATTAGCTACATGATTGTTCGTTAGTGTCTTTACAGCCTTCGTGCATTATTTCCTTTGTCTCAGGTTGTCCCAGCGTTGCTGATCCGGTCACCTCTTGTTGTTCTTAGGTGATTTCTTTCCCCTCTGAATAATGCCATGTGAGAATAGAGAGTTATAGTTATCGCTTTTTTATGGTCAGATCCGAGCATATTTGTATGCTATTGCTGTTTTGCCTATTATGTTGACCAGATTTCAGTGCCGATGATGCTGAAAATTCTTTTTTTCCCCTCTGAGTAATGCCGTGTCAGGGTAGACAACTGTAGTTATCACTTTTTAGTGGTCTTCTGATTCTCATTTCAAGTCAGCCATAGCCATATGTTGTGATGAAGACTTGGTCTTTTATGATATTTGCGTTATTTCTTCTTCTTGTGCTCATGAATTCTATTAGTCTTATTAAACCAAATATATTAAGTATACATGACAGTGCAGTGGACTTGGTATAACCAAGGTTTCTTGAAATTTTTGGATTACATCTGTCCTCTGTTCTGTGTTTCCAGTCATGAATGCTAATAAGCTTATGAAAACGTATATTAACTACAGATGCCAATGCAGTGCATTTGGATTTCAGATGGTTTCTTTATTTTTTTTGTGGTACAATTAGATTATATATATATATATCCCCCCCAACGCTACTGCATTATACTTATTATTTGGGAGGCCAAAGCATTTAAGCGTGTACCATAGGTTGATTAAAATTTTAAGAACCATATAGATATAGATTACAAATGGGCACTGACATTTTACAGCCACAGTGTCGTTGTATTAACTACATGATTGTTGGTTATTGTCTTTACAGCCTTTGTATATTATTTTCTTTGTCTCAGGTTGTCCCAGCGCTGCTGATCCGGTCACCTCTTGTTGTTCTTAGGTGATCTTTTTCCCCTCTGAATAATGCCATGTGAGAATAGACAGTTATAGTTATCGCTTTTTTATGGTCAACTCCGAGCATATTTATATGCCATTGCTGTTTTGCCTATTATGTTGACTAGATTTCAATGCCGATGATGCTGAAAAATAACTTTTTCCCCTCTGAATAATGCCATGTGAGAATAGACAGCTATAGTTATCACTTTTTAATGGTCTTCTGATTCTCGTTTCAAGTCAACCATAGCCATATGTTGTGATGAAGACTTGGTCTTTTATGATATTTGCATTATTTCTTCTTCTTGTGCTCATGAATTCTATTAGTCTTATGAAAACAAATATATTAAGTATAGATGACAGTGTAGTGGACTTGGTATAACCAAGGTTTCTTTAAATTTTTGGATTACATCTCATCCTGCCATTACGTGTTTCCAGTCATGAATGCTAATAAGCTTATGAAATCACATATTAACTACAGATGCCAATGCAGTGCATTTGGATTTAGCATGGTTTCTTTAATTTTTTTTGGGTGGTGCAATTAGATTATATATATATACATATATATATATATATATATATATATATATATACATATTCCCCCGGCCCTCCAACGCTACTGCATTATACATATTGTTTGGGAGGCTAAAGCATTTGAGCGTGTACCATAGGTTGATTAAAATTTAAAGAACCATATAGATATAGATTACAGATGGGCACTGAAATTTTATGGCCACAGTATCGTTGTACTAGCTACATGATTGTTGGTTATTGTCTTTACAGCATTGTACATTATTTCCTTTGTCTCAGGTTGTCCCAGTGCTGCTGATCCGGTCACCTCTTGTTGTTCTTAGGTGCGGTACCAGAATTCCATAGGATTTACAGGTTGTTATTTCTTCTGTTCACGTATTGCCTACATGTACATGTGGTTTCCTTCGGTACCTCATGTTGTTCTCCTCACCCTGTGCCAGCAATTCTGCCCTCTTGCATCTATTAACGTGTTTGCTACATTCGGCTTCTGCGTCTCTGCTCTACCTGGTATGTCCACACCAGTTCCGACTATGTTATTTTTGTTTCGTAACCATCCTGCATGGTCATTTATTTTTCTATTACACTGTTTGCCAGCAGCTCTTCTATATATGTACGATTTTCCTCTATGCTTGCGGATTTCTACATCGTTACTGATATATATAGTTGTGTGCATACATACATATATATGATCATGTATGGTTACATATTATATATATATATATATATAAACACTTTTTTTATGTGGCATTGTGGCTGACAGCTTACTCTTTTCTTTCTTTTTTTTCATCCTCCTTGTTTTTACATATACATAGCATGCTGGAGGCAGTGTTCCAAGAAGGTTTTTTTTCGGTCAGCTCACCATTTGGATCCGGCTGCTACCTATGATCATCCCGCTTATTGGCCGTGTGTCTTGTCTACAATCCATAGATGGATTTGTTATTCTAGATTACAGCTTTTTGACGATTGGTTTCCTAGGCTACAGCAGCTCAAGCATGCTATGTGTCTTAGAGGTAAAGCTATTAGGTCGCCTAATATGCTTGTGTCACATAGACATGGATCTAGCATTGTCGGTTCTCGGTATTTTCGGATGTTGTTCGTCTGTTGCATGTGTCGCATCTCGTGAGTTGTTGTACGTCTTGGTTGGTTCCTGTGAACACTTTGTTCAAGAATCGTACCTTCACTTTCAGTCATAATAAGATAGATGTATCATTTATCTTGTTCCATTCTTTTCATCCGGCCGGACATCGCTACAAACAGATTATTTCCCTTACCTTTGTTTGTACTGTTGTCGTTGCCTTCTTTTTTTAGCCGTGTTGGCTTTTTAGCCGCTTGTATACAGGTTTTTCCAATGCCTTCGTGGGCTTTTCCAATGGCTTCGTATGACGTTCCCTTTATTTATGGATTGTTTGTGTTCTTTACCGTTTTTATTCTCTTACGTACTCTGTCAGCACATGCCTTTTTCTCCTTCCTAGTTGATATACTCTGAGCTCGTATATATCCATGTCCTTTGGGCTTGACTCTCTGCGACAACGAACAATCATGTGTGTAAATTTTCTCCTTGAGCTTCGTATCAAAAATATTACCTTTCTCTTATAATGTATGGGTTGCTCGCTTCTTTGAAATTTTCCTTTGATTATGTCATCATGCTTGGGGTGCTTGCCTTATTGATGACCTTCATCCTTCGTCTTGTTGATTCATTTAGCCTCAAAGCATCCTCACGCCCCGCCCTTTCTGTGAACGGCCACACAAGAAATTGTATGCTATTTCTGTGTGTCTTTCTTGCTGTGCTCGTTCCTTATTCTCGATCCTCTTATCTGATCATAGTGCTATCTGTGTTCTGGTTCTCTTCTCTTAGGTGCCCGTGTTTTCCATGCTTCGCCGGTCTTAGATCCTTCTGAGTCCCGTCAGAGGCGGAAAAGGCTATTAGATCAACACCGGCTTGCCTGGACAGGTATATTGCCGGTTTCATATGGAGTAAATAGACCACACACCTTCCGCGTTTTCTTTTTCTCGCTTTTTATTTCCATAAACTACACTCTTGTTAACGCTCCGTGTATCTCTCCTTTAATCGACCCGCCTCACAGGTCGTTCAAAGAGTTATACACCGTCTCTTCAGTGTGGCCATTTCGATGACGAATACGTTAATGCGCTCAAAGGTACATTTTTTACGTTCCTGAACCAACATGATTTGTGCTTTCCTATCCTTGTTTCATTCCCTCCACGCCTCGCTGATCCTATTCATCGTCTCTAAATGCCCATTTTTAAAAACCTTGGTTTATAGCCTCTTATCGAGATAGGTCCTATTATGGCCCCCCGAATTATCAGTGCCGTCATTGTGATGCTGTGTTCTGGTACGGCGAGAGGGCCAAATCTGAGTCTTCGCGCCATGATGACAATATTGTTTATAACAACTGTTGCCGGAGTGGGAAAGTTGTCATCCCACCTTTCTAGCCTCGCCCTGATCCTTTGGCTGCACTAGCGACGTTTGGTGGAGGTCCTCATTCCAACAAATTCATGAAGAATATTAGACAATACAATTGCCTTTTTGCCTTCACGTCTATGGGGGCTAACATTGATCGTTCGCTTAACGATGGTCGTGGGCCTCCAATTTTCAAAATTAGTGGACAGGTGCACCATCGGATTGGGTCTCTCTTGCCACCAGATGGAAGCCCTCCTAAATTTTTGCAGCTATATATTTATGACACCGCTAACGAGGTCACTAACAGAATACGGGCTTTAGCACCTGCTGACATATCTTATGACACTTTGGATCCTGACATTACTCGGAGCCTCATAGATATGCTTGACCAACATAATCCTTTTGCTAAGAAATTTAGGATGGCACGGGATAGACTTCAGGATGGCCAGGCCGAAGATTTCATTGTGAGGATTGTAGGAGCTAAGGAAGGAGATCCTGTTCAGTACAGTCTTCCAACTACTGATCAGCTTGCTATGCTTGTTGTCGGGGACTTTTCTCTTGACACTTTCCAGCGTGATATAGTCATTCAAACACGCTCTGGAGAACTGTAGCATATATCTTCTTTGCATCCTGCCTATATGGCGCTACAATATCCTTTGTTATTCCCGTATGGTGAGCGTGGATACCAGATTGGTGTTCTGTATAATGGTGCCATGCCAGCTAGGAAAAATGCTCGCAGTAAGGTTACCATGCGGGATTACTTATGTTACAATTTCCATTATAGACGGAATCAGCCAAATCCATATCTTTGTTACGGTCTTCTATCTAGTCAGGCCAAGATTGATGCTAGAGCAGCTATAGATGAAAGCAGATTATGGTACATTCTGGATAATCAGGCTGATCTTCGAGTTGAGAACATTCAGGGTATATCCGATGCTGTAGACCGTGGCTGTGTGGACGGTACACAGATGGGGAAAATGACTGTTTTGCCATCCTCATTCACGGGAGGCCAGAGGTACATGATTCAGAACTATCATGACGCCATTGCAATATGTAGGGTTCATGGTCTGCCTGACTTCTTTGTGACATTCACATGCAACGCCAAGTGGCCTGAGATAGATGAGGGTATCATTGAACCAGGACAGAAGCCTAGTGATAGAGCCGACATCATTGTTAGAGTTTTTAATATGAAGCTTGAAGACCTATTGCATGATATTAAGAGTGGAAAAGCCTTTGGTCCATGTAGTGCAGGTATTAGTTTCAGGCCTATTCTTTCCTCCTGTCTCCTTGCTCATCTTGTATATTGTTTCTGCAACCATCACAAATTTACCTATCTTCTTCCACATTATTGTTCACATGTGTTCGCTCATTTCTAAATCCATCCTAGCAATCCTTTGCACTGGCTGTTATAGCCTGTTCTTTCTTATTGATGTCATGTCTTCACATGGGCATTGTGTTCTGTGCGATTTATGTCGCTATCTCACGTTCGCACACTTTAATGTATGCTGTAGTTCTCCATACAGTTGAATTCCAGAAACGTGGTCTGCCACATGCCCACATCATTCTTTGGGTGTCTGCCGACACTTCACAGCCAACTTCAACGTATATAGATTCTTTTTTTGTTAGTATTTGAGATACCCGATCCAAAGGAAGATCCTTTGGGATATGCTCTTGTGGCGAACAAATGGTACATGGTCCTTGTGGAAGGTACAATATGAGTTGTCCTTGCATGAAAAATAACAGGTGTTCCAAAAGATTTCCAAAGCCTTACCAAGATGCAACTTTGGTCAATGAAAATGGATTTGCGATTGTGTAAGACGCCTTGAATAATATGTTTGTTAGCAAAGGAGGCAAGAGACAGGATAATTCATGGGTTGTGCCATATAATTTATCCTTGCTCAAGAGGTACCAAGCTCACATTAATGTAGAATGGTGTAACAGGAGCATCTTTGTTAAGTACCTCTTCAAATATGTGACTAAGGGACCGGATTGTAGCAGGGTCTACCTCCAAAGAATTAGAGATGGTGTAGACCCCCCCTATGATCAAGAGAGTCAAACTATTAATGAGGTTAAGGAATATTTGGATTGCCGGTATATATGTGAGCAAGATGCATGTTGGAGTCTTTGGCTATGATATCCATAGACACTATCCATCTGTAGAAAGGTTGCCTGTTCACCTACCCAATGAAAATTTCATTACATATCATGCAAAAGCCAATATGTCCCGTGTTCTCTCACAGGAATTCCTGCGCAGGACAATGCTCACTCAGTGGTTTGTTGCTAATCAGACCCATTCTCAGAGCAGGGAGTTAACTTATTGTGACTTTCCTTCTAAGTGGAGATGGGAAGAGACCTCTAGGACATGGGAACGGCGGTGTCACAACATCGGTAAAATAGGTCGTATCCATTATGTTCATCCTTCGGCTGGTGACCGGTACTTCCTAAGAATGTTATTGTTGGTGGTCAGAGGAGCCACAAGTTATGAAGAGCTTCGATCCTTCCAGGGTATCTGCCATCCTACTTTCAGGAGTGCATGCAGGGCCCGTGGTCTTCTTGGTGATGACCAGGAGTGGTACAGTGCTTTTGATGAAGCTGCTGCTTGGGCAACCTCTAGACAGTTAAGAAACCTTTTTGTTACCATGCTCCTATTTTGTGAGGTTGGAGATGAGTCTGCCTTTTTTGAGAAGGTTTGGAGGCTCCTAGCTGATGACATTCAATACCAGTTCAGAGACATGATTGGTAACCAAAACTACCAGATGCCAGACAATGACATTAGGAATCGCTTGCTTGATGATCTAACTGCTTTATTTGCTAAAAGTGGTAGCAATATACACAATTTCAATCTTCCACATAGAACAAGTGCTTCTGGCTCTTCTTCCACAAACCGTTTGGTTGAAGAAGAATTTGCATATGACGTTCTTTGTTCATCTGATCAGTCAAACTTACTATCATCGCTCAACGATGAGCAAACTGCTGCCTTCAATTCTATAGTCCATAGGGTTACAAATGAAGAACCTGGATTCTTCTTCGTCTCTAGCTATGGTGGTACCGGCAAAACCTTCCTTTGGAATTGTGTTGTCACACATCTAAGATCACATAACAAGATTGTTCTTACCGTTGCATCTTCGGGGGTCGCAGCACTGTTACTACCTGGTGGTCGCACAGCCCACTCCCGGTTCAAGATACCTTGTGATCTAGATGAAACCTCTGTCTGTGACATAAAGAGAGGTACTATGTTAGCTGAGTTGATTCAGATAACATCATTAGTAATTTGGGATGAGGCCCTTATGACTCATAGAGCAGCTTTTGAGGCTCTCGATAGAACATTTCGGGATATCCAGTCTCAAAACTGTTCTGAAGCAGCCCACCTACCATTTGGAGGCAAGGTTGTTGTTCTTGGTGGTGATTTAAGGCAGATACTGCCTGTCATTGAAGGTGGGACTCCAGCACAGGTTATCGACGCCGCTATTGTCAATTCTCCATTGTGGTCGTCCGTTACTGTCCTTACCCTTACTAAGAATATGAGGTTGTCTTCTTTGGGCTTGGATTCACAGGCTCGTCAAGAGTTGTCTGATTTTAGCCATTGGATTTTAGACGTTGGGGATGGTAGAGTAAATTCTTTTGCAAAAGAAGGGGAGAGTGAGCCTGCATGGATCAAAATACCTCATGATTTGCTTTTGATGCCTAAAGAGCATAACATCAGGTGCATAGTTCATGCAATCTATCCAGATTTACAGAACTGCTACTCTGATTCCTCCTACCTTAGGGACCGAGCCATCTTAACACCTACCAATGATTTGGCCGAAACACTTAACGCGCATGTTGTTTCTCTCCTCCCCTGTGAGGAAAAGGAATATTTGAGCTGTGACAAAATAGGAAAGCCTCCAGGCACTCATGATGCATATGATCTATTGTATCCTGTTGAGTTCCTAAACTCTCTCAATGGAAATAATTTCCCTCAGCACCGACTCATTCTTAAAGTGGGTGTCCCTATAATGTTGCTACGGAATTTAAGCCAATCTGATGGCCTCTGCAATGGTACGCGACTGATTATCACTACTCTTGGAGATATGGTTATTGAGGCACGCATTATGACAGTACCCACATTACTGGTCGGACCGTCCTCATCCTCGGATTTCTCTAACACTAAAAAAATACAAAATGGCCATTTGTTCTCCATAGACGCCAGATTCCCAATTAAAGTATGTTATGCTATGACCATTAACAAGAGCCAAGGCGGACACTTTCTTACGTTGGCATCTATCTTAAAAGCGGTTTTTCACACATAGGCAACTCTATGTGGCTCTTTCACGTGTAAGTTCGAAAAAGGGCTCGAGAATTACGATAGAGGGGAAAACGGAGGCTATCTGATGAAACCAAGAATATTGTGTACAGAGAAATACTTGCTTGTGTCCCATATGCCGGGCCAAGTACATGATGAGATCGTTTGAGTATTTCTGATTGTATTATATGTTGATATACCGGCTCATTGTGTATGTGTATTAGCATGTCTTCCTCTCCATTTGTTTGGTCTGCTACCTATGCATGGTAGGCTTCGTTGCTGTACATACATAATTACTGTCCTTCCTTACACATTTATTTGCACCTTATTAACTTAATGTGTTCACCACAGTACACCAGTTTAGTCATGTCAAAGATTCATCTTCTTCCTGTTTTTACAGGTGCATGATATGGCTCGTACACCTGCCCCCACACTCTTAGCAAATCTAAAGCCAAGAGACATCCAGGCTTCATGCGTGTGTTCGAGTTATCAGAAAGTGGAATTTCACTGGCAGGAATGAGAATGGGCCTATCCTGCATGTTGACCTCGTTCTCGCTGATAAAGAGGTGTGGGTTTATAACATTTCCTATCTATGTCTAAATTTTCAATACAGTGTAGCTGCTTATGTCCTTACTTCAGAGCTTTATGTACCTACATTTCCTTTACCTCGATGTAATACGCCTTTTCTTGTACAAAATTATTGAGGAGGAGGTGTTTATATACTATTTGAAATTCCAAGAGATGAAGTGCGGGACAAAAGCCCTCTCATAGAGCTGGGCGGGGTGTACACCATTACTTGAGTTTAGGGTTAAAAACACTAAGTATTCCTACATGCACATTCGTGGAAATAGCATGATTGAATTCACTTGCTACACTAGAGTGGTACTTGAAGATATCCCCTCGGACATGTTCCCACAGTTTGTCTATCTGATTGTCCCTTTCAATGAAATACATCAGCATGTAAGAGAGCACCCGAATTTTATTGGTAAGCTCCTTCGTAGATCATACACTCTAGCCTAAATGTGGCAGTTCCTGATATTCTATATGTTATACACAGATGTTATTGGTGTTATCATCAAAGTGCATCCAGCAGTCCCAACGCGTTTACCAGGACAGGCAACATCGACTCTGACCCGGGACATAATTATTCAAGACTTAAAGTAAGTGCTCTGCGATTGTATTGCACGTTCGCCTTTAACTTTCACACCCTTGACTACATGTTCTTTGTTTTGTGTTCATCGGTTTGCAGAGACAACGAGCTTAGGGTCACGTTATGGGGACTGCGAAGCACAACATTCAGCCTTGAATCTATCTACAATGCCAGTGCTCCGAGGGCAGTTGTCTGTTTATTTGTAGGTTGCGTCCCCAAAGAGTACCAGAGTACATTTCCTTACCATCTCCAATTTATTTAGCATCGAATTTATCGTGCGTGCACCCATAGCTGAGACATAAAAAAAATACAGGAGTATCACATGTGACTGGAAACAACGCCTGCCACTGGTATCTAAATCCTCCCATACCAGAGGCCCAACCATATTATAACAGGTGAGTGTCGTGCTTCTACACGGTAGTTTGCATCCTTCATTATATGTTGTACAGAAACTTTACTATTGACCGTTTCCTGAAATTATAGGTTTTAGGATCAGCACTTCCCAATAGATTTGCCTCCTTCATCACCAACGCACCTCCAAGAGGACGAACAGATTGTCATAGAGCACAAGTCACTTGATGAGCTAAATGCAGTTGATCCCTATGAGTTCCCTGTATGTCCTATAAACCATTAAGCATTGAGTTACTAATCCAGATCGGTGCATGTTACAGTTTATATACTTTTGGCCTGTTTCTTTCCACAGCAATCAGACTTTCACTGCACAGTCACAGTTACGGCTGTGCCAGATGACGATTCGTGGTGGTATCTAGGCTGCCGAGGATGCAAAAAATCCAGTTCTGATCAGGTCGGCGGTGCGCCTTGGTGCGGTGGTTGCAAATCCTCATATTTTATGCCAAGGTAACCCTACTTTCTTACCTCTTCATACACACTACACCATTGTTTATTCCTAAGGTTGAGTTGCACTCTTAACCAGTCATTTTCATTCCGCGTTTCGCAGGTACAAATTGGCATTCGCTGCTACAGACAACACTGCAGAGGGTCGGTTCTTCTGCTTTGACGGTATTGCTCAGCAGATCGTTAAGAAAAGCTGTGAGTCTCTCTTTCACCTTCCTAATAGAATCAGTGGCACACCTCCTGGACTAACAGCTAATGTTGGAAACAAGTATACATTTGCTGTAGGCCTAACGAGCGAATCTTACTATTCAAAGAACACAAGGGAATACCAGGTCAAGTATATTATGGAAGATTTCTAGAAACGTCTGTCGACTCCAAGGTCACTAGCAATTGAAGGAACCAGCAAGACTCCACCAAAAACCTTGATGGTCATGCCAGCTACAACCACTGCGCCCAGTACACCCAAGCCATCTTCCATGATGATAGATGCGCCACCTGCCGAGTCTCCTACTCCAACAAAACCAGTTACTGACATTGTCGGGCCTCATTACTTTTGCTCCATCAGCTTACTGTTTAAATCTGGAATTACCGTTCACAGACACTGACATTTGCTGAATTCCTTACCTGTGCAGCTCTCAGCGGAACTCCAACCTGTCCATACCCCTGCTTCATGTGGTGTTGCTGAGTATGTGTCTAATATCAGAGCTTATGTATATACAGTTTGGTAGCTCATCCAGGGTCATGCTAACATTTTGTTCTGATACAATCGTATATGCTTGCTATGTTTCTTAGCCCGGCAAAGTCATCGACGCATGTTGAAAACAAAGGTGCAAAGAGGAAACTGTTTGACGACTAGTCTACTCATAAGAAGGTCTGTCCTCTTTGTATTCACAGATCATTTCTTTTTTCACCCCCTCAAGTTTACAACACAGATGCTAATGCTAGAATTGCATTCTCACACATGACAAATATGAATACAAACTTCCTGTTAACTATGCTCAACAACCTCTGTCGATGACGTTCTTTTCCGATAGGATCAAACGACCTTCGCTCAATCTGCTCATCAGAGTTCTCAGCAACTCAACATCGACGTCTAGATGACCGGACATGATAAGGATATAGAGGAGCAACATTCTGAGGACCCCCTAGATAGCCGAGCAAAAAGGTATTCAACGCTAGAACGATGAGTTAGAACATGAAGATAGTCCTTCTGTGCAACTTCTCAGCACTGATAATTATGCTCTTCTTCCAGGCCAAGAACTCAGGATACTAAGCCTCATGGCAAGTCTACTGGACGCAAATCCTCTTCGGGGAGTCAGAAAAATTGAAACAGGTTTTTAAATACATGCTACCATAGTTTTAGACAGACACCTTCGCTGCTCTTGTCATTAGCTCATCCTATTTGCTTTTTTGTGCAGTTTGGGACATCCCTTCGTGCATCGCCTTTTGCGTGGCCACCGCACCACCTACAGCCTAGCTAGTCTTTCAGCACGAGGTACATTGGTGTTTACAAGGCCAGTTCGAACCTTCGGTGCCTAGGTTGCTATACCGCCACACAAGACTATCTTTTGTATGCATAATATGTCCGCTTTTGCAGTTCATCATCAGCTTTCTTGTATAGTCTAGGATCCCACTGTCTAATCTTATGGAACTACAACTCCTACCTGCTTCTACCTTCGCTGTAGCAAACTGCATGCCAAACTATAGACTCTATCTCTAGACATATGGCGTGCGCTCCTGTAATGTCTCTAGAACACTACCCGATGCTTCCACCTCAAAACATTGCCGTCTTAATGGCATCCATCCATGTAATATAAGTAGACTTGCTACCTCTGTGCTACATTTATCGTTAATTGCTATGATGGTACTGCAGTCGAGATAAGCTTCGTTACCTACACGGTTTTATATCCGTTTAATCACCGGCGCGCGTGATGGCGCGCGTGATGCACTAGTGAGAAAACAAACTGGGAGCTCTGTGGCCAGTTGGACGGGCGCACGCGCGCGACAGCCCGATCTGTGGCACGAAAAATGCACACTGTACTCCTACTCACGGGCGATCCTAAGGTAGTAGGAGCAGGTACACCTAGCTGCATGAGAAAACAAACTGGGAGCTCTGTGGCCAGTTGGACGCATCACGCATGCATGCATGCGTCGCAGACGACCGTACGTACGTTTTGCCGCACGCAGCGCACATCCAGAACCGACAACGCACGTCGGCCACGGACTCGATCTTGCAACACCGGTACGGTGGTAGGGAGATCAAGATTCAAGAATCGTACACACGCGCAACGCGTGGGCACACGGGCCGGGCAGTCCGGCGGCTCCGGCACAGACGATGAGCTAGACGACGACGTCACAGAAACGAGATTCGCTTGCATGGCACATGGAGTCAAGGACGGCGTGCCAGCGCCATTTTCGGCTGGCGCTACGATCGACCCCATGGCCATGGATCGATGGCCGCGTCGCGTACGTCTCGATCGGTCCCTCGCTCGCCAGGACGACGATGACGACATGCATGGGCACCGCCCGTCAAATGGATTGGAGACACGCGTCCCCTGCACGTACATCACGGGTCGTCCCATCCCTGTGTGTGGCACGAGGTGGTCTCGATCGACATGCATGCATATACGATATTACTCCACTCTCTCTCGTGTATCACGCACGATCCACGCCCGGTCGCGGCCTGATACGTACTGTGTACGACGACCTAGCTAAGTCGTTCTCACTCAACCGGAGCACATGCATGCTAACCCTGAGCCCTCGCTTTCCTTCATTAGTGTACATGCAGTTGCTCGCTGCTGCTGCTGCTGCTGCTGCACCAGCAGCTCACATCACATTGTTTGCCTCGTTCTACTACCGGCGGCTAGGTGCTATATATAACCGCATTGTTTGCCTCGTTGCCTAGATTTTACACACTTATTACTCGCCACTCCGATCCGTCCGGAAAGAATACAATTCTACGGCGTAATATCGAGTTAAAATCGTTTTGACTAAGTTTATATAGAAAATATTATCGAGTTAAAATCGTTTTGACTAAGTTTATATAGAAAATATTAATTTCATGAATATTATTTTTTTTGTTATTATAATACCTATTTTGGGTTATAGATATTCATACTTTCTCCGGGTGCCATTAATTATGACTGTTGTGTCGTCCTACATATATTTATTGTTAGGCTAGTTTAAGTGGGGAGTTTTATAACACAGGTACCAAAACTGTCACGTTAGCTTTTATGTTGGTAACCGTGACAACGGGTTTCATCCTCTATGAAACTCTCTCTAACTCGCTATTCATAATTAGCCCACCAACTCAGTAAATTTGTTGAGGTGTCTTAACATTAAATGAGAATGAAACCGTCCTTGAAACTCCATTGAGACCAGCCTTAGGGCACATATTTACGGTTTTTTTGAAAGGACTAAAATTTACTGTTGTGGAGTTGAGGGATGTTTTAATGTGGCATCGGTTTGCGTGTAGGGGGAGTTAGTTTGTGTACACGTGTGAGTAATTTTACTACTGTAGGATTTTTTTCTCTCTCGCTGGACATGGGTGGCGCTCCGAGATGACGCGTTGAATGTTATTCAACACGCAGAGAGTAGAATAGTGTGTGCATATATAGGGAGCGACTTTTTTTCAAGCGATACACACATCCCCTGCCCTTCAGGTTTTTTAACCAAACGTTTTCAGCCCCACGCACTCTGTTCGAGAAAAAATGGTGAAGTTATGAGAACACTTAAAAAGACGCTCCACAAACTTCAGTTTTTTTTGGAGCTGCTCCACGGTGGAGTCTGTGGAGCAGTCCCAAACACCCCCTGAAGCAGAGCAAATGTACTTAGAACATCATTAGCAATTATTTTAATATTTTTAATACTACACTCCAATCAACTCGCCTGACACATTATTGACACTGAATGCATTAGAATATTTACATTATTCAAAATTTCAAAATGCAATATCTCACAAACCGTAAGTTTGATTGATGAAGGGTTTGAAGATTATTGTTGAAAAAAAAATGTGCTGAACAAAATGTGATATATGAAGACTATTATGTTTTGAAGAAGTTTTTTTTTTAATTTAGAAAAGCAAAAGATTTAAACGTACCTACAACTAATAAAGAACACATAAACTATTTATAGTTATAAATTATTATTTTATAGAGAAACAATTACATTGTTTTAAACACATTGAATAAACTTGGTGTAGTTCTTTGAATTGAATAAAAAACATTCGTGACGGATCAAACGTAGTACGCCGGTGGCGTCATGCTGCAGTCGTCATCGCTCGTTTAAATTCCCTCTCGCTCCCTAGCTACTTGCGGCCGCAATTGCAGTGTGGGTATAAATAAACGTAATACGTACGTATAAGTACCGTAACTTGCATTGTATGAGCACTCGGCTGACGGAGTACACGAATCAGTACACTAGCACAGGTTCGTAGTAGTTTGTATGAGCAGTCGACGGACGGGAGTAAACTAATCAGCTCGTAAATTTCCAGTCGGGAACAGTGTTTTTCTTTCACACCAAACCAGCTAAACAGTAAATAATCCACGATACGATACGGCCTCCCGAAGAGGCTATCAGGGACGGTCAAAACCGTTTAACAGGCGGGTGCTACTGTCGCCTCTGTACTCTGTCACCGTTAATCATTCTCTGAAAATAGATTTTTTTTAAAAAAAAATCCATGACCGAGCCTATCGGCGAGCCCACTCCTAGCCCTGAGCCTGATACATAGCCAGAGACATAGCGCAAATTAAAGCTGGTATGCCTAACATCCGGCCTGGCTCTATCCTAAGCTATCTTTCGGAGATCTTGGTGACAAGCTAATTTCAAGGGCGTCAACATAGCACTCAATCATCATCCGATGAACCTGTTTAGCGGCAAGCAGGGCGAACGAGAACAACTTCCATGGGGTGCACTGCACCGGGAGAAAAAAATGTTTCTATGCGTCCCTGCACTGCACTGCACTGCACTGCACTGCATCACGTGTGTATCACGGGTCGTCCTTGGTGTGTACTCTATGTAGGAGCACGTACGTCCTTGCTGTTAAAGGTTCCACACCGCTGACACCGTGACCAAGAATGGCACGAGGTGGTCCAGTCCAGACATGCTTGCGCATATACTCTCGTTTCTGTACGACGATCTACAGTAACTCGTTCTCACTCAACCGGAGCATATGCATGCTAACCCTGAGCCCTCGCTTTCGTTCATTATTGTGCATACAGTTGCTTGCTGCTGCACCAGCAGCTCACATGCATATGCATCCGCAGCTAGGGCCGTGTTTCACGCGTCGTGTACACCGAAAAGTCACTGCTACAAAAAACAATTTTTTTAGAGATGGAAGGTATTTTTGGGGAAACATATC